TGCAATGTTGTTTTACCAATTGGTAAAAAGACGACAAAAAGATTGGGTATAATACAATGTTTAAATTTTTTAGAATTCCACTAAATTTCTTGATATTTTGTTGTTCGTGTTCTTTCAGCGTTGGCAAAGAGCTGAGACACGATGTAGTTAATTTTGAAATATTCCATCGATTAGAATCGTATTTCAGTCACGATCGCTATAAATCGTCGTGTAATAAAATGCGAGATACGAGCTGAAAGATCCGATGGAAAATTTATTCGTAATTCGGGAAATTCATAAAAATTCCACTTTGTTCGATTCGTTATATGCACAGCTTCGCCATAAACCATCAATTTTTTCTTTTACGTGATTGAAATATGTATCTGGAAAGAACAAAACCTAAGTGTACTACGCATAGCTCGGACAGTCAATTTCCATACTTCGTTCCTCTGGCTTTAATCGGCGTACAACATAGAGTGGCTCGTTTCTCATCGCGCGACAATGAACCGTAAAATCAGGCTTTTACATTAGAATGAGCCCACATGCGACACAAGCGTCGCGTTGCCCGCGTAACGCCCCACAATGACACAATTCACGGTCGCGCTCCGATGCGACAATGCGCGCTTGTTTGCCGGCACAATGAACAAACGACGATTCAACCACCACACAGATACACGTGAGAAAATATTTTAGAACCTGTTCCTCCCGTGGAAATCGCGATTTTGTCCTGTGCCAGAATCTAAAACGATAATGGATCCGGATCAAGGACGAACACAAAAGTAATCAAAATAATTCGCGATAAAATTCTTCGTCCCTTTCAGAATCCAACCTTTTTTTAATCGACGACAGAAATTGTCTTTCACTAATTACTAATTATATATTTATAGATATTTCCTCTTACGGTTTCGCAGCAAAAGATAAATCTTGGTAAAACTAGAAATCGACTTTACAAAAGACAAATACAGTGATCGTACGATCGATTAATAGTTTAGCTATATAATAAATCTGAAAGATTTCTATTTCATGGCTGAATCGACTCTTTTATGTTTCACCTTTTATGTAAATTTTCTATTATTTTTTTTCGATTCTAGCGTAGCGGCTGACTCGTCAAAAGTCGCCACGTCTATACAGCGCGAGCGAAATTTCCATTTTAAATTCCATCTCTTTGCTCGTGTTCTGTATCCATTGCAATTGCAACAAACGCTGAATCAAATTGTCTTATCTTTCAACCCTTTCGCGCAACGTTTCATCCTTCGAATCAGGACACCTCGAAACGTGACCGGGTTATTTAACGAAAAGCAGGTCGGATTGGTTACGGTTTTCGCGATGGAACGTGGTGGACGAAACCGGTGCACGATCGCGGCGCGCGTATCCTCTTCGTTCATTCATCGAGAGAAACCAGTTTTCGTCGCGGTGGTCCGGCAGATCGCGAGTCGGATAAATAAGCGCTCGTTACCATGAGGTGACGCGACCCAACGTTGTCACGCGACCCACCAGGAAACCTTCGTGAAACCGAAATATCATCGTGGTCCCTGGTCTGATCGGACGAGAACAATCTTCTTCTCCTTCTTCTTTCTTTTTTTTCTAAATAAAAAGAGGCTTACGATATAAATGGAGATAGCATGGTTTAGGTTGATCCAGGATTAACCCTCAATTCTAGAACATGCAAATACGTATCTCAAGTTTATTATTGTATCGTATATATAATTTCATTGTATCAGTTTTCGAAATCTCCTCGAATATCTTTGTATTTATTTTGGATATTGACTTATGTTAATATATTTAGGAATCATGCTAATTTCTTTAACATTAGAATTACATATAAAGGTCTAATTTCGGTTTATCAATTGTCGAAGTCTTCCTCTTTATCAACAAGTTCCTATTATTTTCAAAATGTTTAATTTAATATCGTATCGATTCTCTGGAGCTTCCTCTTTCTGTTAGCAAGCAGATTTGTTCGTATCGTTTTACGCATTGCTATAAAATTGAGAATTACTCGCTTTACACGTACGCACGTGTATATTTTTGAAGATTCTAACGAGTTAATTTCTCTGACACAGCAACTACATGTCTAAATTCGCTTTATCGATTTTCCTAATCTTCCTTTTCCTCTTCTTAACGAATAGTTCTATCTTCACGTATCGTTTTAAAATCCAGAGTTTTCTCCTTCACGTACGTCTAAGATTTTTACCTCTCGCGTGTACAAACGTCTCTTCTTGTATTGGGTTGGCAACTAAGTCATGGCCACCTAATGACAAAATCCGCAATCACTTAGTTGCCAACCCACTAGAATTCTAAACAACGTGCGCCGCGATTCGATTCGAAATTCGATTAAAAATCGAATACTTCCCATGTTACGATCTAACGAGACGCTCGTCGCGCACGAGGCGAGGTATATTTTTATCGGAAGGCGTATTAAAGTGCCATAAGCCGGACCGTCTGTCGGAAAATATTCCAACTATCGGTCGAATCGTGCTCTGATCACGGCGAGTCCTTCAGAAATAGTAACGTCACGCTTTGATATCTGGCACACCGAAACATCGATCGGTAGAAATCGTCTGATTTGCATAGAATCGACAGACGCGTTTGTATCGGTCTCACCGCCACGAATTACGACGAACGAAACACGACGAGCTCGAGGGGTGGAATATTAAGCAGACGTGTTCACGACACGGTCCTGTCATTTGTCGTCTTGTGACCTCAAGGTGCAAGAACGTTTCTTCTCTTTCTGTTTCTGTACATGGATCGATGTCTCGTACTCTGATCGATAGCGATCTGAATATTGGACAAAGTCGCTGTTCCCTACGATTAAAAAGAAACACACATCGTACTGTAAGGTTGTTGACTATTTCTAACGCTCTAAACGTATCGAGTCTCGAGCAGAAATATTTTTTTATTATCGTTTAACCTCCGGCCGATTTATCTCCTCGCGTCGAATCAACGAAATGCAGTTAATTAGCTTCTTGACGATTGAATATGAATCTACTTACAAGTGTAAGAAACGAGTAAAAGAAGCTGACTCTCTGAGATCAGTGGACCGTGTCGAAGGATCTTCGAAGGAATCATCGTTGGGAGACGGGCGAGCGAAGAAGGCGGGGGGACTGGACATCCGAAAAGTTGGTAACCACGCGCTCGGCGAAAAGAAACGCGCGTGCCCCGGCTCGTTTCCCCGGTCGTATCCTTTATTTTCTTAATTTCCAGCGATGCTCTCCCCCCCTGCAACTAATTACCATCCCCGTACGTGCAGCCATAAAGCTATCGAGCCCACGACCACGCTCGATCCCTCGATTGAATTTCAAATCGGCCGGCCAATTAAAAAAAGAAAGAGAAGAGGAGGAAGAGAATCGCTCTCGAGCCGCTTGGCCAATTAAGAAGAAAAAAAGCAGAAAGAAGAGAAACAAACAAACTGAAGAAACGACGAGCGAAGGAAAAGGAAAAAAGGGAAAAAGGCAGGGACGAAGAAAGGAAACGTAGAACGAGAAAAGGCTGCCGCGTTAAAATGAACGACGATTCACGGACAAGAAGGAAAGAGAACGAGTCTAAGTAGATCGTATCGCGTTCCAGGCAATTATTCTGCAAGTCAGGTGCAGTTACGGCTGCCTTGCAACGGCACAGCTTTCCAGCCAGGGGCAATCGGTTTCGATCGGCAACACAGGCTCGCGGTAATGTAATCGCGAAAAGGGTAGCCCGTGTAGCGGCGATAAGACGCGGGACGACGTGAAATCTCGAAAGATTCGTCGCTATATTACGCGAGAGAGAAAAGGAGCATCGATCTTATCAATGGCGGCTGCTACACGAAGGATTGTCACGAACGTACGTACATTGTGATAAGAGTAAAGAGACGTAGGTTGGATTCGAATCGGTGTAAGATTGTCACGGTGATTCAGCTGGAATTATTATCGTCGCGTTTCTCGTTCACGCTGCTCTTTAACCGAGATAATCGATGCACCACCCCACGATCGCTTAATTACTGCTCGCTCCTGTCCCTCGTGTATCTTTGGTACGTGCACGTAAGCACTCGGCTGTCGCATTCTCGTCGTTGGAAACAGCACGTCGAAAAATGGCCATTTTTCAATCTCCTGGTGAACGAAAAAAGAGAAACTTCTGCAGCACGAAAGATCCACGTTTGAGAGCATCTCTCGAGAAACTGCAAATGCAATTTAGCCGAAACGCGATGGAATGGTTGAGAAAGACGAGCGCGAAGATGAAAAAAAGGTGGCAGCAATTGAAGAATTTACCAATACGTCGACGAAATAATTCGGTGGATATTCCGCTGGTAAATCGATCGAAATTTCGACGTCGCTGTTGGCTATCGTTCTCGCGTTATTTGCTCGGTTTCAAACTTCCATCGATTTGTCAGCAGAGTTTGCGAAGGATGATCGCGTGGATACCGATGAACGATTATTCCGTAGCTGGATAAACGGATAGATCTCTTCTGGCTGATGCTTTTTCATTTCCCGCAAGGATTTTTCGTCCGCCAAGGAGGCGCAAAAATGGCCATTTCTTAAGATTCTCCTTCACCTCGCGCTTTCGCATTTTGTTGGACATTATTTATGGCAGGATGTCGCGCCGGGTTGTTGGAAAGTTTGCAGCGAAATTTAATCCTGCTACGATCTTTCAACTTTTGTTTCTCAATCTTACTCTCGTGTTAGAAAAGAGAAAGTATTTGCGATGTTGCAAGAAGATATTTCAAATAAAATTGAAACGAGCAAACGCGTATGGATCTTCCTCGTATTTCGTTCGAACGGCGAAGATATTTTGCAACATTGGACAAATGTAATTGGATCGAAAATAACGGAAAGAACTTAGTAGCAAACTTAAGAAAGATTTAAAGTTCTAATTTGTAGCGAAGTATCTTATCGGCTAATGACAGTTGCTAATTACGTTCGCAAGTGTTTGTAACGTTTGTACATTTTCATAGATTAGAAAAATGTCGTAACATGAAAATGCGAGGATCGAGGCAAAAACTCTTCGTTGGAAAATAAGCACGTAGAGATACTTTTTGTAGCCACTGTACTTACGTTATACGGCCATTATTCTGCACATATAGCGTGTGTACAAGTCACTCCCCTAACTCGTGCTTTGGTTATAAGCACGAATGTAGATCAGTAGTTACACCTGGCAACCTGTATACATATATTTGATATATCAGACAGATCAAATTAAGATAAAGATATCTGCTGAAGTACGCTTGTTGATGCGAGTTTGCTGTCAAGGTTTTCAACTGAGTAATGGCACTTTGTGTAACTCTTGGATCTTCCGTCGAGTTAATTAACGTTACTTTGGTAATTACGATAATGGCTAAGATTTATTAGTAATTATTCGCCATTGAAAATTCAATTGAACGTTCTAATCGTTATCAATGCCTCTGCAAGCTAATCTTTATTATTCTAAGACTAAAATTTAAGTAAAACCAATTCCTCCTTTTACATTCCTCCTTGCACCGTAATTACGTCTTATTAAACAAATTCCTCGGATCTTCGTCTCAAGACCTTCAATCTTCTCGACCATCGTTTCTCTCTCCAATTATTACTCCGACTCTGGTAAAAACAACACGACAAGACGATCGTGCTCCTCCTATTCGAGCTATCGCTCCAAAAGCCGCAAAGACTCTTCTCCAATGATTCATCATCGAACATTGAAAGATCCAATAAGTAACTATGTGGATCTTGGTTTTCCTTCTCACACTTTGATTGATACGTTCACGTAAGTAGCGGTAATTCGCTGGTTAATCGAGCACCGCTCTAATTAACGCAAGGGGAAAAACTCGAGCACCGAAGACGGTTATGATGGCGACGCGATAATACATCATATCGAAGGTTAATTATCGCAAAGGATCTCGCGAGGATCTGCATCGTCTGGCCAGACGCAACGGTTGTTATTTACGGATACGGTTATTACTTTGGCAACCATATTTCTTTCGATCGTGCATCGTGCAGAGTCGCGAGCCGCTGAGCAACGCCACCCAACCGCACCCAATGCTCGCGAAGACAAGGACGTGGCTATACTGGGTGTCCAGCGTGGTTAAGATGATTTGCCAATGTTGCAAAGGGTTGAAGATTGGAAGGGCAGTGAGTTTGTCGTATGGACAGACACGTGGAGAAATTTATAAAAAGTAGTATTACGTGTTATGTATTAGGTTGTCCGAAAAGTTTCTTTTTTGTTTCATAAGATGATAGATGGATAACAATTTCTGTTTTATATTATTTTATTGAATTAGATATCATGTATTTCGTTATATATTATGTTCGTGCATAATTCAATAAACTAATATAAAACAAAAAACATTGTAAGTCTATTGTTTCCTTATTAAACGAGAGGAACTTTTCGAACAAACTAATATGTATACTGAAGTATACAGGGTGGTTGTTAACTGGTGGTACAAGCGGAAAAGGGGTAATTCTACGCCACTGTGTTACAATCCAAGTGGTATGAGAAAATGGAATTTTCCAAATTTCTTATAGAAGAATTCTTACTTTTCTTCTTCTTTAGAATTTCATTTTTTCAGATACTTTGAGTTTGAGGTCAGTTAGGACAAGATTGATACAAAATTTTAAAAAGGGAATTTAATCTCATGATTCTTAATGAACGAAACAGTATATTTTTGTACTTTGTGCAATACAATAGTGTGTAATTGGCTGAAATTTTTGGCGATGAATGAATTGTCAATCGATAAGTGACAGAAGAATCATCTTAGATCTGTGTTTCTGTTTTTTTTGTTTCTATCCTTTTAGAATATCCTGCAATTCTGCCTGTATATTTCTATGAAAGACTCACGCGAGTATTCACAAAAGAATAGTGTCTTCCTATGATTTCTAAACAATTGGTGTTACAGCCAATAATAAACTATTGTAACGTATCGATATTCTGCAATAAATAGATATCAATAATTTTCAGAATTAAATACCAGAATACGCTTTGCCACTTGTTTGTTATAGAGGAAGACACTCTAAATTCAAGCTAACGTTAAAATGTGCAAACAGAGTCACTCCAAATATTAAGCTACATCCATCGAGAAGTTCCTACTTAATCTTACAATTTTTCGAAAAAGAAGAAAAAGCACAAAATGAATAAAACTTAATATACTATAGAAGATCAAACTCTAAATTATTCGTAATCGCGAGAATATATCGGGTTTCGACTGAAAATTGCTTCTATTCTATCGAATCGCATATATTATTTCCATATATACAGCGTGTTTGGTAATTGGTGGTACAAGCGGAAAGGGGGTGATTCTACGCGAAAAAAGAAGTCGAAAATATAGAATAAAAATTTTTCGTTCGAGGCTTTCTTTTCGAGAAAATCGACTTTGAATTTTTGCTCCGTACGCGTGCACTTTATCGCGTCTCGTTACAACGAATCTCACTGTAGATCGTTGTCTCGATGGAAAAATTAAAAAAAAAATTTTTATTCCATATTTTCGATTTCTTTTTCTCGTAGAATCACCCCCTTTCCGCTTGTACCATCAGTTGGGTTGGTAACTAAGTGATTGCGGATTTTGTCAATACCATCTAATGACAAAATCCGCAATCACTTAGTTGTATATCATTGTACAAATTGTACATTAATATCGACGACGAATCACGACAGTTACTTTGTTACAAATTAACCGTAGAAATTAAAATTTTTGGGTAAAGATGAACGGTGCTTCGAATTTGGACGTGCAATTCGAAAATTAAAGACTGAAATATAGGCGTAGATTTTTGACGAAATATTCTGCTGAACTTTGAATTGGGAATTTTATGATTTTTAGAACTGTGTAATAATATAATAATATTATGTGTAATGATACACGTACTCTGCGTTGTGAATATAAATTTTATTAAATTTATCGAAGTTATAGAGTCGTAGAATTTATAAAATTTGTATTTGTTTAGAAAATCGAGACACAGCAATCGAATCAGTAAGGTCGCTCTCGTGCCTTTTATGAGAAATACGAACGCTGAGACAGCGTCTCAGCGCTGTAACTTCAACGATAGGCATCTTCGAACGATTTTCTGCATTTTATTGGTCAGACAGAGAAGGTTAACCAGGCCCGGTCGAATGACCGGTTTCAAAATTTAATTGAAAATTGTAAAATACATTGTTGTTTATACAATCGTAGTTGTTATTTTATTTATTCGTCTCGGTTTACGTAAATTCTTATATTATCCGATTAATCAATTTCTCGATTTTTGTTCATTTAATAATTTGCATACGCTTGGACGAATAAAAGTACAATCTTAAATTAAATTTTGAAATCGGTCGTTTGACCGGGCCTGGTTAGGTTAACGTTAGTTCCAGTGTAAATTATTACAATTCTTTTTTCATAAACAAACGATATAAAATCGGATGTAGGACTGCTTTTCCCCTCTATCTGCAATCTAATTAAGGATTCTCATTCGTAGCATCGTACTATTCTGCTTAATTAGCATGTCCTATCTAGAATTCTTTCATCGTTCAAGATACATCGAAATACTTGAAATTTCCTGTTTTCTTCACCTTTTCTTCACCTTTCAAGTTACATTATTCACGCTGTTACGCGATAACGACTAGATATTTCAATCTCGATGAAAAGAAGCAAAAACCGCACAAAGAAGATAATAAAGTAATTTGAATATTCCTCGCCTTCGAAATGTTAGACACAGAAGAGTCCACGGGAAAAAGAAGAAATGCCAATCTTAACGAAAAATTGGACTTCTACGAGCTTTCGTACGCTTCTGCGTGTGTTTTTCGTCGCTGACCGTGTCGTATTAATTTTTTACAAAAATCGTCCCGAATTTTACGATGCCTGGTTATAAGAAATCAAGCTACATCAACGTACTTTTCCTTTTTTTTACATTTTAACAAAATAACACGAAGAATGAAGTATTTTATTTCGATACGATATCCACGAGAAGATACGAAATTGCCACGTTGCATATCGAGAAATAAATTTTCGTTTTCCCAAAAATCTTACAAAATTTCTCCTCACCCTTTTCTCCCAATCAACTCTTTGCATACAGTCGAGGGCAAAAATACACCAACAGATAAACTAATTATTAGGTTGTCCGGAAAGTGTCTTTCTTCCGCAAACGTGTTTTTTTACAACGATGCAGCTTCATACAAACGCGAGGAAAAGATAATATAAAATAATAATAACAATATAATACAAAACAAAACACGTTGTGCGTCTATTATTTCCTCGTAAAACGAAAGAAACTTTTCGGACGACCTAATAGATATCAAAGTTTCTAATCAAACTATTTAGTATCAGCGTAATGCACTTAAGTTCCACTCGTTACGCGTATATCTCCGCAGTATATAGATCAGCCAGTAAATAATTGAAATTACTATGTACCTGTCCGTACGTAAACAAGACCTGTTTAACGAAACCAACGTCGATACCTACTTCCCTTGCCATATTTGCCCAATTATTTTTACGTGTGCTACATTCCAGGAAATAAATTGCACGAGACACCCTGTATAGGGGGAGGTCGGTCGGTTGCAGGGTGTACGAGGCGACATAAAAGGATAGGTAACATCGTTGCGTTTCCCTGTTCCTCATTAGCATATCCGATTACGGGTCGCAATGTGCACTGGAACGAGATAATTAGAAAAGATTGCGCGGAGAGTCCGTTTCGCGGTGCGCAACACCTCGACCATGTGCGTGTGTATGTGTGTGTGTGTTCCTCCTCCTGCCTTTGCATTTCTTTTTTCTTCTTCTTTTCCCCCTCCTCCACCCTCTTCTCCATCTCACTGTTTCTTTAATCCTCTCGAACAAACAACGAGGAAGTGAATTATGATCGACAGACGCGCCTATCTACGGCGACGAAAAGAAAACATTTAACTCGTCGTTTTTCGTCGGACGTCCATACGCATTTTGGCTCGCGTGGAGGATTCAATTTACTCCGGCCACGTGCAGACCAACGCCCTCGATCCTTCGGATCGGTATAGAATTACTCGGTCGATCTCTCGTTGCTTTTATTGCCGATTGAAATTGGTTTTGCGGAACGGTACTTGATTAACGAAATTGATCATTTGCATGAACGCAAATAAGAAGCGAGGGTAGAATTATGTGCAGGATTATCGGGGTAGAGCGGTCGGTTTTTAAGCGAAACAACCATTCATTTATTATTACGCAGCAGAGATATGCCAGAGTATTGTA